ATCCGTTACGTTAATCGCAAACGTGGATCGTTCATTAGAATTTATAATCGACCGTCGCAACACTTGCCGCGAGCCGATCGGCGTTATTCTGCTGACAGCACGCGGATCGGGGATTCGACTTTTTATTCCGATAAAGTAATCTGCTCGTGACGAACAGGAAATGTACTAAGTGTATCGGAACAGTCGATGGACTGGCAAAAATTCGATGTCACTATCCGTTCCCTTTCATTCGAATTCAATGATTTTCATTGGCTTTGTTGGATTTCTTTTGTTAACTGGAACTACCGTACCAGTGAAATGACTGGTTTCAACGTTTTTTATTTGTGATTTATCAATCACGGTTCTTATCTTTGCAAAATACAGTTTCTAACCGAATTCATTGAACGACGAATGTCTAAAAAAACTGACAATAATCAATTATTACAATTTTTATAGGGATTACATGTTAATCGTATTAAATGCTCTTGTCACTTAAATATTAAATGATTGAAACAGAAGAGAACAGAGTAAAGAAAATAAGTACCTCCATTGTCTTCAATTGAAAACGCGAAATTGGAAACTTGACGTGTCTACCACTAACAGCTTCATTCGCATGTCCCAAAACGAAAGAAAATACATTTCGAATCGTATCAAATCGAACCTTTAAATAGAATGCACGATATAACGCTTGACTCACTCCATACATTCCAATTACTTTATTACTTTACACCGAACACTCTGCAAAAAGCTGGCTTAACCTAGTTTTTCTCTGGGTCGAGTATTTCCTGGTAATAAAAAAAACACAGAGCAAAGATTAATTGTCCGTTGTATTCATTCATATTTCATCGTGCGATAGATGAAGCAATTATTGGAGAATATAATTGCACAAATCGCGGTAGCAACAACAGTTTATCTTCTCGAATAATGTCTACCCTCTTTTTACTTCTGCCATAGCAACATCTTTCGATTCGGTAATAGAAGCTATACCATTTTCAAATCGAATTACGAAGATATACTAACAATTTGAAAAACCTCTCGAAGAACAAAAAATTACTGAAGCTTCATAGACGTTAGCCGCTGAAAAAATTCAATCCTCTCCATCGATTTTTCTTTCTTCCCAACGAGCACGTGTCCAGTCGATTGGCCGAGCGATCCATAAAATGTTAATCAACCTCCGTCAAAGGCAAGTCGATTGTAATGCACGTGTCGCAGCGCGAAATCGTCCCTGAATGAAAGAGACGTCGGCAGCCGGCGCGAGCGGGGTCAGCGTCGATCGCTTTATCTTTGATCCGCGAGCGTTGATTCGCTTAAAAATCACAGATAACCGAGAAACCAGTGATGAAAGGGAACTGTGTCAGTCGAAAACGTAAACACCGCCAACGGATGTTGCAACGGAGACGGCGAAAGTGACAATTCGCTGCTCTAGAACTCGTCGATTCATCATAGTAGAATTTTTTGCCGCCGCGATCGTCCACGGACGACATCGCAGAAATTTTCCGCGCGACGTTCTTCCTCGTGGCTCTCGGAATACCCGTTTCTCGGTGAATTAAACGCTGATCAACGTTAACGTAATTATCGTCAACAACTTTCTTATCCGTCGTCGGGGGGTAGCGAGGAGTCTTCTTTTTTCCCCCGACCTCACAGAGGAAAACTCGATAACGAACCAGTTTGCGTCTTCGGCTCGGCGAGTCTCACGGGCGATGATAATACCCCGTAATTTACCCGGCAAACATTTCGCGCCCCTCTTCCCCCCAGGCGTCGCCGCCTAGAAAATCAAGTTTCCCTCCGTTATCTTAAAGCCCAATCAAAGTCGCAACGTAACGAATCCGTTCCCCCGCCCCGCCCCGGCCACGTAGTTAGCCGGGAGTTCAAAATGAACTCTCCGACCATTTGTCCCGTATTTCCCGTCCCTCTCTTTTATCTTTTCGACTACATCTCTTTCCCTGCTCGCCTTTTCATCGCGCATTCTTCCCGGCCATTGTAAGTTCCGCGCTTTTATTCCGCACCGTTTTTCCCTCCCCTTTTCGCGCCGCCGCTCCCTTTTCCGTTCCGGGGCAACGAAACGAGAAACCCGGGTCATTTCGGAAATTACACCATTCTCAATTAACGCGGCGCGTAATTAACGCGACACCGGCGGGAGAGGTTGAAGCGGAGCCTTTCTTTCATCGAGCGAGCCCGGCGAATGATTGGATTGAAGTTTATAACGCTGCAGCTGGAATATCAGCTGACTATTGATGGTCAATGGGAAATAATGAGCTCTTTTGTTCTATCTAAAGACAATTTACTATTCTCCAAACATATATATGTCAATAATAATAGGTAAACACTCGAGTATAAATAGACAACAGTGTCTAAAATCTTCTCAACAAATCTTCCACTCTCTCTTTCTCCCCGTTTTAGGTTCGGTTTCGCATCAGTGAACCTTATTCTCGAGAATCCGCAACTTTCGACTTCTTTTCCTGCTCTTTTTATCTGTTCACATCAATTTTCCCTTCACCCGGATTCACTTTCGTTCAACTTTCGACGTGAATCTCCGAGATTTCCATCGAGACGGTCCCGCGGCTCCCCCGCCATGATGCGCCCCGACAAAATGGCGAGTCCGCCGGGCGTCCGGCAAAAAGCCGAACCTCCGTCCCCCGGAGACATTGTTCCCCTTTAAAACCCAGTGGATTTTCGCGTCCGACTCGCTGGCCTCTTTATCTCAGCTAGTCCGCCCATTACTCCCGACCTAATTACCCAATTACCGAATTTAAATACCCGGCCGCCTAACAGCCGCGTTAGCGGCGTCCTTCTCGTCCGTCCATCGATGTTTTTACCGACTTTCTTTCTGGTTCTCGTCCCGTTCGAAGGGGGACGAGCTCGCGCGCCGGGTTGATCGAATAAATTCGCCCCGTCCCCCCGTTCCCCGGCGATAAAAGGGACAAAAGGGGGGGCGGGCAGTCGTTTGGTCGACTTCCAGTTGCGCGCGGAGCCAGCGATCGATCGTGGCCACGGAAATCTGGCGGAACCGTACTCCGGCGATCGTTAACTGTAAACAGAGGACACGGAAATTATTATTATTATTATTGTCGGGGACGGAAACGGCGGGGTTCCGACTCCGTTACGAAACCGCTGGCCGTCGATACAGAAAACCGGCGGGCCTGGTCATTGCGTAACCGCGAGAATTTCTTTGCTCTAATTCCAGGATAATTAACGATGAAATGTTGCAACACTTGTTCTTCGCGCAATGAGTGGTCTGATTCGATTTGACGCGCTGTTACTCAATGTTTGACCTGCAAGTTGGATTTTAGGTGACGAGGAGTTCATTTCGTTTTTACGAGCAGTTCCGTTCGACAAAAGGAGTTATTCTGTTTTAATTCTTCGCCAGTTTTTGACATCCATGAGTGTAGCTTTACGTTGTTATATTTATGAACATTTAATTGTTCTTTCTGCTCTTCCGTGGAATGAATTGTATCACGTTGATTCTGACGATTACATAAGGGAATTTAATAGTCAGTTTCGAAGAGATTATACTAGGTCGAGGAGTAATAGTTACGTGTAAAGCGTGGAATAATTGGTGAACCGGTGCATCTACGGGCGTGAATTGAATGCAGCGCTCGGATTTACTTTTATGGGGCGGACAGGTGTCGGGAATCATGTCGGAAAGTGCCATTGCATGTACAAAGATAATGGGCTGCGCGCAGTGTTTACGTAATGAGCGAATGAAAGTCAAATGACGCTGCCCGCGGGAAAATAGTTGTATAGTTGCTTTCATTCAAGAACGAATGCACAGGCGGGCGCTTCTATTTATAAAATGAAACTTCACGCTTTCCCGTGCAGGTAGTTTCTTCGCTTTCGTTATATTGGATGTTTTTCGGACGGAATTACGAGCCTGATTGCTATAAGCTTTCATCGACGGACAAAGATGAGAATATTTTCTAAATTTTCAATATTTTTAGTTTCCTTTTCGTGATATCTCGCTGCATTATCACTTTTTAACCCTTTGCACTCGAGAGGTGACTCTCAGTCACTTGATTTGATACGGTAAAACTATAGAATGTGATATTTAACGTTAAACTTCGTATAATGCCTCGATACGTGAAACATATAAAACTATATGAAACCACATAAACCTACATAAAACTATTTAAAACAATATAAAGCCACATAAGACTATATAAAACTACATAAAACTATATAAAAATATTATTTAGCCTCAGAGAACATCGTCTTCTCTTCGTAAAGGAACGTTAAATATATCTAGTAAGAAATATCCAAAGGGTTGAAGCGATCGTTAAGCAATTTTGATCCAACCGAATTCTTGCACGTTTGCGGTAGATTCGAATAATAATTGGGTAATGTCGATTAGATCATATCGAAAGGAAAAGAGATTGAAAAGGGAAAATAGCTCGCCTAACCAAGATTTCTACACAAGGACGGTTAACCAGCCGTGTTTCCTTAGACCGTTTTGCTATATCATAGATTAACGTAACGTTACGTCAGAGGCTGGCTGTTACACC